ATGCGTTTTCACTTTCACTTTAAAAACTTAAAATTAAAAATGGTTCTAAAATATTTTTTTTGCAATAAGAATTCTCATCGTTATCCAGAACTGTCGTTTCATTGGTACCTATGTTTCTTATTTGGATGCATTACTTCCTTCATTTTTTAGTATTATTTACTTATGCTAATAGATTTTTGTTCGCTGTTTTAGTTTCCCTAAAGATAGTGAAAGAAAACAAATTTGGCTTCGGAACTTGGGGTTACACAATGCAAATCCTTGGCACAGAATATGCTCAAACCATTTCAAAATGAATGACTTCAGTAGTGGCATTTTGAAGTTACGTAAATTAAATACAAGAGCTGTACCACATTCAAATATAGAAGGCAATCAGACATGTTCTAATACAATTGAGAACGAGGATAATGACAATTTGTCTACTAGCAATGATAAAGATGTTGAAAGTGACATTAGTTTGACTTTTGTACATAATGTCAGCTCACCAAAAACTTCTGAGAGGTATTTTGTTTAACACTGTATGCACCTTATATTTAACATTATTTTTAAATTAAAATGTTTTAGTAATATGGTTATTGGATTTAAAGAAAATGTTGGAGTTGACATTAGTTTGACTCCAAAAATAAAAATTTCAAATTTTTTCTTTTAGAAAACAAAATATTTTCACTGGAATAAAAAAAGTCGCCTCACTTACTTATCAGTTTTGGAACACCGAAAAGAGTCTGATGGCCTATCCATTTCTTTATTATCTATGAATATTACACTATTATTTATTAGGAAGGTACTATACTACTATTATAGTTGCTATCACATTTTTATTAAATAGTCAATACCGACCCACTGTAGAGTGGTGTGAATAGATTTGTCGTATAAATTATCTTAATTTGAATCTAAATATTTTGAAAAACTCATTGAGTATATTATAATGAATAAAAAATAATAATATATATGCTAATGGCAAAAGTTTTCATATTGTTGTAGGTACATTTGACGGATACGACACATCAGGGTGAATAGAGGCAATTTTGAATATATTTTTCAGCTGTGATATTGATAAATATTGAATAAAATACTTTTTATTTATATTATTTATCATGACACTAACAATATTCTGAATATTAAAAATCACCTCAATTCAAACCCAATAAACCTGTTAACTAATCATAATCCGTTTTCAAAATCAAAATCCATCAAACCAAATTCCTTCAGTTTTGTCTAGCTTTGTAAAGCCACGTTTTTTCATCGACTGTAGTTCCATTAATATAATAAAGGTACTGCGCTTAACAGTATTAAGTACATGGCTATATATTATCAGGGGTGTCCAAAAGGTCTATCGTAATCAATTGTTTGATCTTGAATAGTTAGCTTCTAAGTCGATCCTCCTAGTTAAAATGTTTTAATTATTGTTATAAATTTGTCGTTCAATAGATAATAGGTACCTATAGTTATTTCATACATATTTCGGATTATTTTGTTAGTGTGAATGGTATTTTCTCACATGAAAGTTATTAAAACCGAATCGGTGATATACGATTGCGTACGATTGTCCCTTTTAGTAAAACGATTGCGTACGTTTTTACGATTGCGTACGATTTCTCTACTTAGGCCTTAAAAACATTACGATTGCGTACGAAAATGAGTGCAACGTTGCCAACATGTACTATTAAATTAAATTGAATTAATAATAATAATAATATAATTTAAAAAAATCATAATTATAATATTATAGTCAATTAAAAACAATATAAAATATAAAAATAATACACATAAGCTATAAATTAAAACGTTGGTATCAATAACCAGTTCCTGATAAAAAAATTAATTTAATTTAAAATAATAATAATAATATAATTTAAAAAACCATTTTTATAGTCAACTAAAAACTTAAATTATACAAAATACAAATTATAAGTTATAAATTAAAACCTTGGTATCGATAACCAGTCCCTGATAAAAAAAGTACCTATTGGCCTGGAAATAATAGTCTCGGTAACGTTTATGAAATTGTATCAAATATAAGCAATCGTTTCCTAAAATAAGTTATATTATAAATGTTCACGATTTTGAACAACGGCAACGTTGCACTAATTATTGGTAGGTAGAATGTACGCAATCGTAATAATGAAAAAGGTCCATACGGAATCGTATCATACGCAATCGTAATGCACCCAACCGAATAGGTATCAAGTTATTCTTTCTGATGATCATTTAGAGCAGAGTGTTCGTTTAGCAGTTAGTGACTATTACTGAGATTATAATTAATTGCCATGATATTCAACGACACGCTCCTGCATCAACAGTATAATGTTAATACATTTTAAAATTATATAGAAATTTAATGTGAAACATTCATTTTAGATAACGTTATACTTTAGTTTTATTATTTAGATAAATATGTTTATTATTAATATAAAATATTTTTTTTACAGAAGTCGATTCTAAAAGTAAAAAATGTACAGTCAGTAGGTCTTAACTCTTAATCAAAAATAGTTTGGCCGTGGTGGCTGTCTACGGTTTAGCTTCTACTGCCGTCGGCTGATGGCGCCTTGGGGTGTCAATATAGGTCAATACATGTACGGTACGTTGGAATGTTGCCCCTAAGGTTTTGGGTAGTCCCAAATTCTTGGTTACAACAATGATTTCAAATACACATTTGAGCGTGCCCGGGTCGTAAAAGTGTATACTATGCACTATTGTACCGCAAACATTATCTACGTATCGTATTATCTTCATTGCGTGGAATATCGGCCTGGATCAGTTGTTCAGCTGTTATCCTGGGTACCAATTTTCTTAGCTATAGCTTTCTTTAAATAAACGTTCGGTTTAAACATAATACAAAATAAAATATTATTTACTAGACGAATAAAAAAAAAAATGCTGTAAAAATTGTGTGTGTTGATTTCTTTTCGGCCGATCTATGCCTCTCTCTAAAATTCGATAAGAAATCGAAACAGAAAAAAGTTACCTATACTATTGACCGTTTTAAGGACCAAAGATCTACCACAAGTGGATTGCCTGCCTCAAAAGTGATAGTATATGTCAATAATATACGTTATATAATATAACGCCGGGCGGGATGGCTAAAAATTAAAATATAATATGATTTACATTTTACACTTAAAAAGACATTGCTTCCACAGCGAGTTACACCCAAAAATAATTAAACAATAAATATTTTTCGGGCAAGAAACATTTAGTTAGTATAGTATAAAGATAATGAAACTAAATTATTTTTGAACTTTTTACAAACTTTTCAAATAAAATCAATTTTAGCTGTAGGTAATATTTTCAAGCACATACTGACAATTATAAGAATGTTTAGTGAAATAAGTCCTAAACCTTCGATAAGCTGCTGTGTACCTATATATATTAACGAAAATACACCTGCCTGAGTATACTTAATACAATGCCCATTACTCATGCCTACCTATATTATATAATTGTATAATTACTTTTTGATACTCAGTTGCCTTCCAATCAGTGTTGAATCCAGAACATTTTTCTGGGGGGGGCTCACTTTTTTTCATTGGTGAAGGGTGATACGTCATTTTAGTATTATGAATTATATCTATTAATAGGTAGTTATTCTTATTACAATTTATAATTTAGACATTTCAAGTTTAGATAAAACTACAAACAAATTAAAAACAAATTATTTTATTTTAATTTTTAAATCAATCTAAGGTTGTCACACATTATAAATCGTATTATCTATTATTATTAATTATTGCAATTCAGAAATTATAAATATTCAAAAAGTTATAAAACAAATAATTAATTTTTAAATCAATCCAAGGTTAATTTAAGGTCGTCACATATTATAAATTGTATTATTATAATTTATTACAATTCAGAAATTATAAATATTGAAAAAATTACAAAATAAATTAGAAACCTATTAAGTAATTATTTATTTTTAAATTAATTTTATGCGACGAGTTTTTTTTCTTGCATTTAAATCAATTGTTTCTTCAATGAACTCCTGAGGTGGGTCTTCTTCGCCTTCAATACTTATTTTCATACAATATTCCAGTGTGTCTTGTCCCATCCGATTTCGAAGTTTTGACATAATTCGATTCATTGCACTAAATGATCGTTCAACTGTAGCAGTGGCAATTGGTATGCATAAAACTGATTCTGCTCATTTTCTTAAATGTTGGTAACCCATATTAACTTCAAGAAGATCAGATATGGGGTTTCCACCAATCTCTTTTTTATTTAAAGCTACAAATTTAAAAGACTTGAAATCTAATATTATACATTCTTTATCATATTCAGATATAGATAAACTGTCACACAATTGTTCAATCAATTTTTCTGATGCATCTGATAACGTACTATAATTTTTAAAATATTGAACACCCTTCTATGAGCTTAACTGCTGTATCATTAAATCGACGATCCATCTCTTTTATTACTTGTTCTAAAAATGATAAAATATACTTTAATGTATTTTTAATGTCATCATCTTTTTTTAATGAATTAAGTCTCTTTGAAATTTCGGTAGCATTTTTAATAATAGTGCTATTATAGACATCTTGTTTTAAACTTTCTGCAATTTTATTTAAATGATCTTTGGTACTTTTAACTATAGTAGGTAAAACCGAAATACATAAATTGGGAGATTGTAATGTTAAACTTAAATTAGAAACAGCACCTAGTATTTGGTCCAATCTACACAACAATATAATAAAACTTTCTTCGGGGAGACTTAACAAAATCCCACCTGCGTTGTAGCGATACCAATATACGATTGTTTGATTGCATGAACAATTTTGTAGTGGCTTAACCAACGGATTTCTATAGCCTCTGGTATTTTTAAAATAGAATCATTAATTATGGTTTGCACTCTGTGAAGCATTTCCTCACGTTTGTGCGATTGGTGAAATAATTTGTAAATATCTTTTAAGACATGAAAAACGCGTTTAATTTTTGGACATTTATTACGCATACTAGTTAGCGCAAGTCAAGGGGGGCGAAAAATATTTCAGGTATACCTGGATTCAACACTGCTTCCAATATTCAAGTTCATATATAGATCTAGTCAAACGATTAAATTCAGATGGTAAATGTGGGTGTAAGTTAACTAGTTCATTTGAAATTTGTTGTTCACAATCTTTATTTAAAAATCTAACAGGTTTTTGACCATTTTTCCAGAATTGTAAAAGCCTTTTCATAATCCCAAGACAAACATTGTGCATATATTCTAAAACCACAACTGAAGTAATGTCAATGGGTAATTCTTCAAACGGGCAAAGACCTTTATGATAATGTTCATCACTCTTAAGACGAAAAGACTCATTGGTTCCTAATGGTGCATTTATACCCAAAAAACATACTCTCTTATTGCTATAAGTTCCCTCTTCAATGCAGGAATTACAACTATGATAAGCGTTGAATTGCTTTACATTTAATAAAAAGGCTTTGGCGGCGGCATCGCATATTATTTGGCCAATAGAAAATAAAAACTTTTTCCCATTGATATGAATCCCATTTGAAAATAGTGATATCATTTCAGGTTTAAAAGGTTTAAAAAAAGAAAATACTGAGCCAGGTTTTGAACTTTTGCCATGAAAAATTCCTACTAGTAGTGATGGTCAAACCAAGACCAAGACTATGTCAGTCGTCTTGGTCTTGGTCTTGCTGCAAGACTTTAAAAAAAAAAAATTTTTTCCCTTTTTATGCTATGAGTTTGTAGAATTTGTTAATTGTTTATTATCTCTAAGATATAATTATATTAGTACATAGTTATATCAGTTATATATATATAGAGAGAGAGAGAGAGCTTATCTTATATATATAAAATTCTAACATAACAGTTATTTCATTTTGCACTTTTTTTAAAAAAATATTATGTTTATTGTTTTCATAATAATAATAAACTTTTTATAAATGTATTTTGTAAGTTTCTATTCAATCAAGTCACTAGTCAATCTAGATTGTGCAGCTATGTGATCTCTTGGATTAAATCTGCAAGCCAACACTCGACAAAAAAATATTTATATGATGTTTAATGTTTATTAATTAATAATAATAAATATTTCCAATGGACCATTATATTATAATATAAAAATCTTATTAATTTTATTTTTTAAGTAAGTTGTTACTTGGTTGAATGTTTATCTAACCAGATAACAAATATATAGTACCTAATTATCAATTTATTATGGTTAATTTAAAAAGAATATTACATTTTTCAAAAGTTATAGGTATTTGTTATCACTTATAAGTTATAAGTAAAAATAATTAGAATATTTACTTTAAAATTTAACAATCGTTAATCATAATTAAACTTTTCTTTATGCATATATTTACTAGTAGTATTCAATTTATAAATTCCTTTTGATATAATATATTGATGATAGACCAATCCTGTAAAAACAATTTAAATAATGATTTTAATAGTAATTATAATATATTATAAGAGAATATAGTCTATAAATTATTTTACATATTTATTTTAAAAAAAAATGTTGCTTCAAAATTCTAAACATGTATTATAACAAGCTGTAATTAAAGAGAAATATTTAAAAAAAAAATTATGAATATAATAGTAAATTTACAAAAGCTTTTTTGTCCATGAGTTAATACAAAGTAGCCATTGTGCAGATTCATTACTTAATCTATTCCGGTGCTTACGTATAACTAATGATGCCTTAGAAAATAGTCTCTCTGCAGGAACTGAAGTGGCTGAAATCGATAAAAAGTCTCTTGCCAGCTTAGATAATACAAGTTAACTGCAATTGATTTAGCTTCCACCACTGTAAAATATCTACACTGATTGCACTCCTCGGCTGACTTAGGTATTTTTCCAGTTCTTGCTTACTATTCTGAGAATTTGTGAAATTGATCGGAGTCGAATATAGCGCATTGAAGTCTATAATATCTTTATCGTTACCAATTAGGTCTTCTTCTTCTGGCACTTCTGACACTGGCTCTTCTTTAAAGTATAACTCATAGATTTCTTCAAATTTCCTCAGACTACTTTATTTTATCTCTGTTCCCCAAGGCGTTAAATCAAATGTTTCTTCCTTATGCCTTGGATCTAGAATAAGCGAGATGCAGTAAATCCAGTTTGTTTTTTTATATTGTTTTAGGATTTTATCCTTGAAAACTCAAAATTAGTTGCCCGTCTATTGCAGTTCTTAAAATGTTTTCATCTAATTGTGTTATGGTAGTTTCTATCTGGTTAACTAAAAGATTAAAAGAAACAACAACTTGTGGTAGAGTTACATATTTTTCACCAGCAAGTCTTGTTGAGAGACTTTTAGAATTGATTAAAAACTTGTGAACTTTTTCAAATATAAACCATTCATCTTTAGAGATTTGAAATTCTGTTAACTCAGGTAAAATACTGCTTAATGTAATAATGCCTTTTTTGAGTTTTAATGCTACCCCAAGCATATTATGAGTTGAATTCCATCTGGTATGGGGCTTAAAGTTGTTTATACACCCATTGTGTCACATATTGAACGAAACTTATTTTTCATCTTTTCGCTTCTTTTTATTTTGCTAAAAATAGAACGTAACTTCATTATAGCAGTGCTTGAGTCTTCTATCTGTACTACATAGTCCTCAGATATAGCTTCATCAATCTCCTGGTCCACTTCCATTTCATTTTCACTATCCATTTCACTTCACTCTCATAAGCAGTTTGTAATTTTAAATTTTTCATCAAGTCTTGAACACCTAAGTTTAAAATGTGTGCCATGCATTGAAAATGTTGATTTTCTGCATCGAAATCTGGGAGCAATTTTTCAAGTTCGGTCATAAATTTTGTGTTAGCAGGTGCATTGTCAACAGTGATGCCTTGAACTTTGTTTTCCAAGTTAAACTCTACCAAACATTTGTGAAAAATAAAAGAGATGTCTCGACCTGTCTGTTTACCATGAGAGGGTATAAAATCAAGGACCATTGATTGATAAATCCATTCATGGTCTATAAAATGAATTGTAATACCATAGAAACTTTTACAAGCTATAGATGTCCAGCCATCAATTGTAAATGAAATGTTGGAAGAGCAATTTTGCAGCTGATCTTTAACACGAGGTCTGAGTTGTTCAAATCGGTCTTTAACCTGACATCGGAGAGTAGATCTTTTAGGAAATTAAGAATGAGGACAAATCAATTAAAAATAGTCCTGTGTTTCTTTATCATCAAAAAACGAAAATGGAAGATACTTCTGAGTTATCCAATCAACCGTAGATATGTAAAATCTGTAGTACTAATGGTTCCATTTGCTACCTGAAATTTGAAACATCTTTATTACCATTGTTTTTTTTACACGAATATTGTTTTGAAAAATCTTAGGCTCAAAAAAGTAATTAAAATATATTGTTTATTCATGTAGTGTATATTTACTACAAATCTATTTTATAAATTGTTTAAAATATCATTGTATGAACAATGATGATAAAGCACATACTAATCTGTAAAACAATAACTATAGAATAAACATTATATTTTAAATCAAATAAAAGCACAGATAAAAATATGTAAGTAATACAAATTTATTTTATTTTATTAAATCAGTATAATATATTATATATATAAAATATTTGTACCCTATTATACAAACCTGAAATGACCCTTGAATTAATAGTGCATAATAATATAATAATAACAATTACTAAATTACTTAGTACAAATAAAATACCTGCTGAATCATGAAAATAGTAATTTTAGTTTAATTTTAAACAATTATTTAATTACATAATGCTTAGTAGAAAAATTATATCTAGTTTTAGAATAATAAATTTCATCTACACCAGAATAATAGTCAAATTAAATTTATTTTAACATCAATCAGTACCGTCTACCTACTTTCACTTACTAATAATCAAGAAATTATAGTATATAGTTAGTTATAATGGTATGTACGATGTATACCTATCACTTTAATATAAAAAATATACAATACATTTTAAAATATATACTATGCACATATTATATAGCCTATAGTGATATATAGGTAAGTAGGTAAAGTAATACACTATTATAGCTTAAAATTTAAATACAAGTACATATTATGGCATATTATAATATTATTTATTAGGCAAGTACCTTATTTGTATTAAGTAATTTAGTAATTATTATTATTATATTATAATTCAAGGGTCATTTCAGGTTTGTATAATAATAGGGTACAAACATTTTATGAGGCTAATCCCCCTCTCCCTCACCAATTTTATTAATGCATATTTTTCCAAAATGTAATGTACCTTCTACCTACCTATAATATATTATATATTGTTTATTCAAATTTAAATTTAAATCATACAGTTTAATTTTATTATTCAAACAATCAAACCAAAATTACAAGAGCAATGATTTATGATTAACAATGTAACACCACAAACAAATACACATTACACAATATAACAAATAATAATAATAATCATAGCCCATAGGTAGGAATATTATTATTTAATTTTAAAAAACCATATTTAGGACATGTATAATATTTTATATTTTTAAATTTGAAGAAATATAATTTACTGTTGTGTACCTATAATACCTAGGTACCTATTATAATAGTTAATAGTAAAGTATATATATAGCATTATAATAGCATGTGGTAGCTAAAAATTGTAATTTTATAAAAAAAAAACGAATGTTTATGCTTTAAGGTCAATGTTAAGGTTTGTTAATTAATAGGTAATATGGGCTCAATCCTAATATTTAAACAATCATTATTGTACATACCTGTGTTCAGAAGTCGGACCCTTAAAGAACTTGTCAATTGCATTTTTTGACGATTGCTTTATCGGAAAAAGTATTTGTGCCTCTTTCCTATGTGCAGAAATCAACTGTTTTTTTAAGCCCGAAGTGTTTCTATTCTTCATTTGAATATGAATTGTCTTTTTATTTCTTTCACACAATTTACACTTGTCGGATATCTGATTTTTATTAGTGATGATTTCAAATAAGTCACAAAATTTACTGTGGGATTGTGGATGGGATGTTGAATCCAGATTCACACTAGTTATATCCTGAACACTCATTTTAATAAATAATAGTTACCTATTATAATAAATGTATATCTACTTAGTTGTTTAAACGTTGGAAATACGACAATCGACATTAGTAGTTATTACCCATACACTGTACCTATACATTTTCACAGTATTACACGAATAATAAACGAAATAAATACCTACAATATAATAATAATACCCAAAGTACCACCTTTAATTAAATACTGTTATTAGTATTATATTCAATGAAGAGAGCCATATACAGCACTAAATAAATATTGCGGTTTATAAATATACCGTATCGCCCGTACGGTGACTGATGTTATTATTATAATATTTATTTGTGCTCACTGCTCGCACATCAACATTTGTGTGGTATTCGGCAGCTAAAAATAATTCCATTAAGGTTTTGTATTGCTATTTGTTACAAAACCACTTTATATCCGTGGTATCCAATTATTTATTATCTTGTTTTCAATAATTCAATAATTCATTATTTTCTCAATTCCTGGAACATGTTGTACATCAAATGAAATATTACGTTTTTATTATATTCCTAATAAATTATTTCTTTTAACCTACACTAAATGACGTGTTTTCTGGGAAAATTTTTAAAAAAAAATTACAATAAATACTGCAAGACTCTTGCAGTGTGGGTTTTGTTTTAGTCTTGGTCTTGCAAGCTCAGTCTTGGTCTTGGTCTTGCAAAGCAATTCGTAGTCTTGGTATTGGTCTTGGTCTTGCAGCAAGACCAAGACCAAGACAATTTTGCCCATCACTACCTACTAGTAAGACTATTTTAGCTAATATAGTGTTATCTATCATATAGTGGTGGTAGGGGTAATCACTGATGAGAGTGTGGACTGTGCTCTTGCACGTATAGAACATAGTCAGTGTATAGCTGGACAGCGAATCGCGAGCGTTGTGCAGCTATTGTGTTTCGCTAATTGAAATATATATAGTTGTTTAATATTAGATTGCTTAGTTTATTTAATCCTATTCCAATCGCTAGAATAATATAGTTAACAGTTCAGAAGTGAGATTCATACACATTCCCCACAGGACGTTGTGCGTGAGTAATTTGTGTTGTGTTGTGAATAATTAAGTCGGTGTGGTTTAGCCGTTAGCCGTGGTACATAACCTAAAAATTGTATATCGTTTTATCAAGTGCGGGTACGATAAACGTGGTCGTCGGTTGGTACCAGTGCGTGTTGTCACTCTGGTTTGAGATCGTGATAAGCAAAGAACAAAACAAACGTGATAAGTGATAAGATCGCAAAAAAAAAATAACAAACATTTCGTTTGATAGTGTGTTTTATAGTGTGTTTTGAATATTTTTTTTTTCTCGTGTTTTGGCGTATTTGATTAAAAAAAAAAAAAAAGAATTAAGGATAACGTTCTATTCAATCGAACAAGATGAATTCACCGGGTAATCAACAGTTATCGGTCGACGTCAGTGAACTGATAAAAGCTATGCTCGAACAAAACCGATTACGTGAAGAACAAATGCGGAACTTAGTGGACAAGTTGATGGAACAGAATCAGAACTGCCTAACAACTACGTCGTTCGTACCGAATTACTTACAACTCATACAGAATTTTGATGGAGAAACTGGTGACACTGGTGTAGCAGATGAATGGTTAAGTGCATTATGTACGGCTGCTAAACTCAATAACTGGCCGGATACATACACTATGGAGGCAGCAAGATCAAATTTGAGTGGCCCTGCAAAACAGTGGTATCTAAGCCACATGGAGGAACTCAAAAATTTTGATGATTTTAGAAAATTGTTTAAGGTCACATTTACGAGTGAAGAAAGTATAACAAACATATGGAAAAGAATGTATGACCGTGTGCAAGGAGAAAAGGAAAGCGTATTTAATTACTACCATGAGAAAGTACGTCTTTGTCGTAAATTGAAATTAAACGAAGACGAAACCAAGAAAATAGTGTGTGTGGGACTACGTTCGCGTGATCTGGTTACAGCATTGTTAAGTAGCTCACGAAATACCGAGCCAGAACTTTTGGCCGACATACGAATGTTTATGGAGGTTCAAGCAGAACATTCAGGAAGAGTTGATCATACACGTCCCAAAGAAATCGTTGTTAAGCCAAGTACTACATCAACGACGAATAACAAGTGGCACAAGACTAAATCGAATGAGCAAGGAAATCTTAACATTCCTACAGTGCCTACTAAAACCAACAATTTCAAACCTAAAGAATATTCCCCCAAGTGTTATAATTGTCAATTATTTGGACATATCGCTCGTGATTGTACACGTACTAAACGACCTTTTAAGTGTTCAAAGTGTTCAATAGAAGGACATACTGCCAAGAATTGTACAGCAACAAAGTCAGAAGTAACCTTGGTCAACAGTAATCTGCATCAGACACCTACAAATTGTTATATTAAGCATGTATTTATAAATAATAGCAATGAACCTGTATCAGGCTTAGTGGATACGGGGAGCGCATTTTCCATAATCAGGAAATCAGTAGCTGAAAAGTTCAAGTTGGTGGTGACACCAAAAGAGGTTAAAATGTGGGTATATGGAAATACTCAACCCGTGACCAGTTATGGAGAATCTCAAGCTACGTTATGCATTGACACTGTAAAAGAATTAGTTGAATGTGTTATTGTGGATGATGAACTACAAAAGTATGATGTTATTGTCGGACGTACGTTTGTGGATAAGGAGAACGTGACATTCATTAAAACAAATGATCAGTTACACTTTGCATATGGAATGAAGTTTCGTTTTGAAGACTCTGAGATAAGGAAGAAAATCTGTATACTGCAATAGCAACCAGGAATGTTGAAGAGATACCCCCAAGGAGTGTGAAGATTACAAATGTTACAACCCAGGACAATGATATAGAGGTACTGATAGTAAATGACGGTGATGAATCAGTTACATGGTCTAAGGGAAAAATTGTAGGCAACGTCAAAAATAAAATACATAGTCCAGTTCATGACAGTCTCAATAGTTGTGGAACAATTACAACAGATATGGTTAATTACAATCCTGAGTTTTCTGAGGGACAAGTAAATAAATTATTAAATTTAATCAATAGTTACAGAATGTGTTTTGCTTTTAGTGCACGAGAGTTAGGATGCACAAATGTTGTTGAAATGGACATTGTGGACAATGGTGTTCCGGTTGTGTGTAAACCGTACCGTACGAGTGCAGCCGAACGCAAAACCATTGCAGGGATTGTCAAGGAGTGGAAGGAAGCGGGAATTGTGTCAGATACTGTATCACCTTATGCTTCCCCGGTGCTCCTAGTACAAAAAGAGGATGGTGATCCCAGACTGGTAGTGGACTACCGAAAGCTTAATGCTCAGACGGTGCGAAGGGTGTTCCCTACACCACAGCTAGATGATCACTTGGAGACCTTGTATGGGGCGAAATTGTTTTGCACTTTGGATTTGGCCTCTGGGTACCTGCAAGTACCTCTTACAGAAGCAGCAAAGGAGAAGACCGCATTCATCACTCCTGATGACACAGGTCAGTTTGAACGAATGGTGTTTGGGCTCATTAATGCTCCATACGAGTTCTCAAGGTTAATGCAACGAGTACTCAATCCGTTGAAGGGAAAAATTGCTATGTGGTATTTGGATGATGTGTTGGTGCCTGCTATATCGTACGAGGAAATGTTGGATAAGTTGAAATTGGTATTTGAAGCATTCCGAACAGCACACCTAACACTTAAACTGAGTAAGTGCTATTTTGGATATGATGAGGTGTCTTACCTTGGTTTTTTACTATCCTCAAATGGCGTGCGCCCTGGACAACAGAAAGTTTTGTCGATACAAGAGTTTCCTACTCCTACTAACAAACACGAAGTGAGGAGATTTCTTGGACTTAGTGGATTCTTCAGACGTTTCATCCCACGGTATGCCCAACTAGCTGGACCAATTACTGAGTTGCTTAAAGATTCTGAGACTTTCAAGTGGAAAGAAGAGCATGACAATGCGTTTAAGGAGTTAAAAGAAAAATTAAGTTCCAGTCCCGTACTCCGATTGTACAATCCAGGAGCCCATACTGAGTTGCACTGCGATGCAAGCAGCATTGGACTTAGTGGCATGTTGTTACAGCGTGGGGCTGACAATCGCTTACATTTGGTGCATGCGGTATCGAAAAAAACCACTGCGACGGAAAAACTTTACCACTCAAGTAAGTTAGAACTAATGGCAATTGTTTGGAGTGTAACCCGAATGAGACACTACCTAATTGGACTACATTTTGTTATTGTGACGGATTGTCAGGCGTTGGTCCATTTAAATACTCAAAAGACAATTAGTCCGCAGGTGGCCAGATGGGCTACACTATTAACCGAATACGACTACGAAATCAAACATAGAGCCGGAGACAAGATGTCACACATCAACGCTCTTAGTAGAGCACCTGTCGAAGTTGCCGGTGACACGGAGACGGAGATCATTCATGAGAAAATGGAAGTACTTACATTGGTTACTGAGGAGGAACAAGTGATGGCGATGCAGCGCACCGATACGAGGCTAAAAACAATTGTGGATATTTTATGCCGTGAAGAATCGGGACGCTCCGTCAGTGAATCTGCGTTGGTGAAAGAATATGTATTGGAGTCTGGACTACTATACAAGAAAGTAGAAGTGAACAAGATAGTTCGTAAATTGTGGGTTGTCCCAAACTCCATGCGAAAGGGTATAGTTGTACGATTTCATGACCTGTCAGGTCATTTTTCAGTAGATCGGACTGTCGATAAAATAATGGAAAGTTATTATTTTCCTCGGATGCGCCGCTACGTGCGTTTACATATACGGTGTTGTCCCGAATGTATGGTAACTAAAGTACCCCGAGGAAAACAACCTGGAACATTACATCCAATTATGCCAGGGAAACGCCCATTTGAAATACTTAACTTAGATCACCTAGGACCATTCGTTAAGTCTACCAAGGGAAACCAATATATTTTGGTAATGATAGATAACTTAACTAAGTATGTAAAACTGTATGCGGTGAGAAGCTGTGGTACGGATGGTGTTATCGCTAGTCTAGAAAAGTTTATATTACAGTTTGGTATTCCAAGGAGAATCATAAGCGACAGGGGTACGGCTTATACATCCAGAGCGTTTGGGGAATATTGCTCACGTTATGGTATAAAACACACTTTAAATTCCGTCAGACACCCTCAAGCAAATGGCCAGGTCGAAAGGGTGAATGGGACTTTAGTTCCTGTTATTCAAGCCACTATGGAAACAGACCGTACTTGGGACAAGCATATTACTGAGGTGGAGTGCAACCTTAACAACGCATATAATCAAACTATGGGAGACACACCCTTCCATGTACTATATGGCTATTTTCCCAGTTTCAAGGATGGTGTATTGCGACATGTGGTAAAAGATGATGTATGGGATGATTCTACAAGACTTCAAGAGAGGGTACGCGAACGGATAGCTAAAGAACATGAAATATGGAAACTTAGGTATGATAAAAAGCACTCTAGGCCAATCGTTTACAGGAAGGGAGACATTGTCTACATAAAGAGACCCCCTGAGGCAACGGGTGAATCAACAAAACTACAACCTAAGTATCGTGGACCACTCATTGTGACACAAGGACTACCTAATGATGTATACAGTGTGTCAGCATTGCGAGCTGAAGAAGGGAGACAATATGCGACTAAAGTCCACGTGTCTCAGATGAAATCATATCATTTGCCTGACTCAGATTCGGAGGAGGATGACAAGCAATCTAGTACAACTTCAGAAGAACAAGGTGTTGCAGGAGAGACTGACCCAGACAGACCACAAGAAGAGGATGAAGAATCTGCAGAACAGTTGTCAAAGTCTTTTGCTGCACTCTCACCAGCTGTAGCAAAAACAGCTAGAATAAGGCGACCACCGAGATGGCATGAGGATTATAAAATGTGATTATTTTATACTATGTTGGTCCTTTGTTTACCATGCCTACACTAATCTGTATATACTGTGTGGCAATATTGTAATTATATTATTATTAATGAATATTATTTGTATAGGTATGTAATTAATTTTTATACTTAAAATACAAAACATAGTTCCTTCTACAGACTTAAATTTAAAAGAAACAGGATGTTCCTAATATGTTTTTGATTGTATTATTATTTTTTTTGTTTAGTCTATTGTCAAAATGTGTAAGAAGTAAAAGTAATGAGTTAAGTTTGAAATTATTATTTACTATTAATTAATTACTAACTATTAACATGTTTTTTTTTATATATATAATGTATTACATGTATTCAATGTTCAATAAGTGAGGACACTTAAACTCATCAGGATGCCCGAATGTTATCTATCATATAGTGGTGGTAGGGGTAATCACTGATGAGAGTGTGGACTGTGCTCTTGCACGTATAGAACATAGTCAGTGTATAGCTGGACAGCGCGTCGCGAGCGTTGTGCAGCTATTGTGTTTCGCTAATTGAAATATATATAGTTGTTTAATATTAGATTGCTTAGTTTATTTAATCCTATTCCAATCGCTAGAATAATATAGTTAACAATAGGTATGTTTATAAAAGAAATCAAAATTGGCAAAAAACTAGACTTGAAACTATTAGTAATTGATAAACCATCAACATTTACACTCAACAAAAGTGTATCCAAATGTAATAGACTATCAAAATAAAATTGTAAAGCTGGTTTAATCATAAACTCTACTCCAATATGTATATATGAGTATATGACCCATTTGCAATATGATTAATTTCATGAGATTTGGACTTGGGGGGTTTTTAATAATGTTCTGACATCTTTTGGAACATCTAACCCTTCAGATCTTAAAATTTCAAGTAATTCATTGATACAGTTATGAGAAATTTTATACTTTATAATCAATTGACATAATGTTTTATTAAAACTAGAACAATTCTCAAATGTTGTACTACTAATATTAAATGATTCATTTACAATATTATCACTACCACAACGAATATTCACATCATTAAAATTATTACCAAAACTGATTTTGGTTGATACCAAACCCAAGCATTCAATAGTATTTGCATGTTCATCTGGCGGTAGTACAACGTTACTGTCTACAGATTCTTTTGTAGGTACTAAATATTCAGATGCAAATATTGTAGACTGATTATCACCAACTTTTTCTTTATTCATACTGGTAGTGGTAGTGTGATTGAAATGTCGTCTTGGCATTAAATGAAGTGGTTTTGCTTTTTTAAACTGAAATTCATAAAAATATGCACAGTAAGGATATTAGGTTTTTTTGTTTCATTAATATAATATATTATACTTAAGAAACATTAACTTAAGCTCTTTATAATTTTATATAGTACAATTTAACCATTAAAATTTGATTGTCTATCAGCTAAGTAAAAGTATTTAGCAGTATTATTTCATACTACTATCTGGTTGTAGCTGCATTCTAATTCATGAAAGAGATTTAAATAAGGTACCTAATATAAATAAAAATAAAAATCTTCTTACTTATCTAAATAACATAGTTATAATGGGATATTCTAATTTATTTAAATGTCTGCTGTATTATATTTAGTGTTGTTAAAATACGGTATTTTATTTTATTTTTGTATTATACTGTATTATACCTTGTATTATACGTGTATTAAACTTTGTATAATACTATTGTATTTAAGTAGGGTATAATAATTTTTTGTATTATACTGTATTATACCTTGTATTATACGTGTATTAAACTTTGTATAATACTATTGTATTTAAGTAGGGTATAATAATTTTTTGTATTATACCGTATTATACACATTTTATACGGTATAAAATCCTGTATTTAACCATTGTCCATTTCCTATTTAAAAATTGAGTCTTATTAATACAAATAAAATAGTAATATAAATTAATAATAATATAAATTAAACTCAAAAGTAATAACTAAGTCAACAAGTAAAGTAATAATTAACAATTTTAATAAACATAAATAACTCTTTTGGTTTTTTTTTTCTAAATAATAACTAAAATAAATGTTTAATGTAAAAAAAGTAACAATAGTAAATAGTAATACTTTATAGGTTATTGTAACAATTTTAACACTTAAGTCTTTTAGTTTCCTGTTTAGTATAAAAAAAAAAATAATAGAAAATAAAATAAAACCTTTTTTTGTTTGTAAATATAAAATAATAGATTTTTAATAATCGTCTTCAGAATCAGATAGACATAAATTAAACATAATTTAAACAAAACGTGCATTCAAAGTATTCTGATTTACCTTTTTTTGTTAGTGATTTCTTAAAATATTTAGTAACAGCTTCTTTATATTTATTAGGCCGTCCCATTTTAACTTTTACTTCACACTTGTTACTTGTTAGTACTTAGTAGTCTTGAGTTAAGAGTTATTAACAGTACAATGCAGATACAAGTTTGTAGTTAACGGTTGTTACAAAAAAAAAAAAGATAAGGAAAACCTCTTATTTTAACAATTTAGCGAAAAAAAAAGTTTTATACAGATTTTATACCATTGTATAAAATAATTCTATACAGCGTGTATAATACCAGTATAATACGATTTTATACATTTGTATTATACAAATTTACATCACTAATTATATTATAAGTTTTTAAACATTGTATGACATTATATATTTGTATTACCTCAGTCAATAAGCTAAGGTAACTAGGTAGTTGAACCAATGCTAATGTGTACCTATTTGTTTTTATAAAAAATCAGTACCGTAGCTGTGACGTAAGTTGGTTACCTAAAATTAATTTCAAAGTCTATAATTTATGAATGGTACCTTAGTAATTAGAGGAAAACTCATTTTACTCATTATCACAGGGGCGTGCTCAGCTTTTTCCAATGGGGGGGGGGGGATGAACAGTATTTTGTTTTGTTGATTATCATAGACACAAAATGTTCTTATAGGTATATACGTTGGTATTTTAGAAGTAGGTTGATATATATTATATTATATACCTACCTACCTACTATTGTTATTCTAAAATTATCACTGAAAACTTTAAAACTATATTCTATATATAGCTAAACATAAAATTCAAAATGTATTAATGTTTTATATATGCAGACATGTTAAAATTATGGGTCTAAAGACCTAAATTACAAATTCAAGTTTTCTTGGTTTCTTAGCCATTTCATCTAAGACTTCATCTGGAGTAATGCTTATATCTTTATGAACTGCCAATAGCGTTAATCCATTCAAACGGTCCTAAAATAAAATGTAAGTATATATTCAATTTCGGTTAAACTAATAAGTTGAAGACTATTTTACTTCAAGCATTGAGTTTCTTGTGTATATCTTCTCCCTCTTTAATGTTGAAAATGTTCTTTCTGGGGTGGATGTTGAAACGGGTAGGACACAAACAATTTTTAATAGCTTATTCAAATTTGTATAAATAGAGGAACTGCAAATTTGGAGAGCATCTAGGCCATTTTTAATGACTTCAGAATTTTCCAATAATTTTGTGTGCCAGATATTTAGTTCAGCTAAACTGTTGCCTTTATTTATGTGTGGTGAATAAAAATCTGCCAGATTTGTAAAGGATTCAATTTCACTTGTATTTAAAAACTGATTTTTTGAAAAAATAGTCTCAAATCCTATACACATTTATAAATTAGTAAAAATTATAATTAGTACTAAATACTACTAAAAGAAAAACCTTTAAAAATTTTTTTGTGTGCAGTAAATCTTTCTTCTAATTGAACAATAAAGAAATCTACATATGGAATGAATATTGTAGTTCGATAATAACGTTCAACGTTTATTTCTGATATTTTATTATTATCCGAATCTGTAAAAGGATTTGCACGATTGGTTTGCCTTTTTGTTATTCTTTTCACTAATAGATTTAAGCTGATAACTTTAGCCATTTCCTAAATTACATTATATCATGTTTAGAAATAGTTTGATAAAAATTAAATATAGAATTTGTAAATTGACTTTGATTACCTCTGCCATTAGGAATATATTATTAAATTCGTGTTCAATATTAATCCTAATATTTTTAAGTGCTGAAATTATGGCCTCTGCAAGGCAAACTGCTTCAACCAAATCAATTTTTTCTGATTGTAATTGCTTACAAAGTTTCAGTCCATAGGAAAATAAAAACTGTAACAATTGAAGTTTATTTAATAAGATTATAAGAATAACTTTATTTATTAGTAAATTGAAATAAATAAATTACTTAAGTAATTTGAATTGAGATCAAAAATGCACTATCAATAGCTTTTAATAATATGGCAGCATCAGTGGCAGAACTGTCGTTCCATTCTGTAATTATTTCTAATGCAGCCACTACACAAGGGAATAGTTCGACAAAATCGTTCACAGCATCATAATGCTGCACCCAGCGTGTGGCACAAAGTCTTTTTAGTGTTTTGATTTTAGGTTCAAAATCACCTTCATCAATTGCAATTAACAATGCATTGTTACGTTTTGGAGTTTTAAAAAACACGTACATTTTTTCTAATATGCAAAAACAGTTTCGAATAGGCTTAATATTGCTTGCAGTAGAAACACCCAAGTTTAGTGAATGGGCAGCACAATGGACATATATTGCTTGTACGCCTTTAAACTTTCCAGACATGTTACTTGCTCCATCAAATCCTTGACCAAATAAGAAATCACATTGAACTCCACAACTAATTAAACCTAAAATGTTAAATTGCAAACAGATAAATCAAATTTACATCATTTTTTAAGATAATATACAAACCATTTATAGCTGATGAAAGTGAAGTGCCAGTAAGACTTTCTACTTTTATAAATTTCAAAAAATCTTCGCATAAATTATTTTGAGTATCCAAATATCTCACACATAAAGTTACTAATATAATGTTACTAATATATTGACATAAATCGTTTCTTTAAAAATATTACAGGCATACAGCTAATGATGTTTACTATTTAGCATATTAATTATAAACTTAGTTATATTTATTATCTGTTTAAAGAAATGTATGTTGTATGTACCTAGGTACATATCTTTATTAGGCTTAGTAGTTAGTCGATACCAGAATTCAATCATCAACCGATAAGCGCAAAATGTGATCCTAGCTGGCTATCTTTACTTTATCTTTATTAAACGGAACGTAATACTACAACTAACATATTGGAGGAGAATAGACATAATTTTAGGCGAAATTAATTTGGAGGAAAATGAAAACCAACCTTTTTTTTGTGGTGGAAAATTGACAGTGGAGGAAAACGGTATCTCGTTTTTGAAGGAAAATGGAACCGCCCAAAAAAATTTACGTATATGACAACAGTATTGTTATGAAAATTATATGCATAGTAAATAATTTAAGAAATATAGGTAGGTACTTACGCGACGTATCTATATGGACGTATATGTACAATACGTCGTGTATGGTACGCGTCCACGTGAACCGGTCCTTACTTCAAGAAATATTGAAATTTTAAACGATTTAAAAAAATAAAACACCTACCTACTTGATTTTAATAAACGTTTTTTAAATTAAGCACACTCAAACAGTATTGTGAGGACCAACCATTTACAAAACCTTTCGCAATATAATGGATCAATAAATTATTTACCACAAATAATTTAAACGATTTTAACTTAAAAATGAAACATTTTATATTTTAAACTAATCATGTAATAGTTTAAGATGCAAAAACAATGGTGTATTTAAAGCTAAACTATGTAGTCAATTTTTCTAGTTTTGAATATTATATTGATAATAACAACATATATGAATTATTTACTAACAAATCTAAATTAGGTATCCATTGCTTACTTTTAATATAAAAAGCTTTATGTAAAAGAACAATATTTAATTTACAACATAACAATATTATACACTTTTTAAATTTTGTACAATCAAAAATTAATATAGGAACCAAAAAAATACAATAAAACTAAAATGTAATTATGTACAGAAAATTGTAATATAATGATTATAAAATGATAAAGAAATTTACTTTATCAGTTTATCATGGATTAAGTATAACTTATGGATTAAATGTATATACTAAAATATCTATATTCTACATTCTACATTTTATAGATTTCCAAAATAATAAGAACCCCAGTGCCGTCCGCAGGGGTGGGGGGCTAACGGGCTGAATCCCCCCTTTGCCCGTATTATTATTACTTTTTCAAAAAAATATTAATCAAGTTTAAACTGTCAACTATACTAATTTTCATATAATATATCTTACCAGAATGAATTCATTTTTGAAAAAACATTGTATTTGCATACCAATTTTCATAAATTGTCTGTAATTTTTCGGTAAAAGTATGAACTACTTGTATGAAAGACCTTGTATTAAATTGTCTAGCCTTAGCTATACATATTTTATATTTTATAAGTTTTGAACTACAAATTAACAGTGGTTTTGACGAAATTTGAACTTTAAATACTTATAAAAATAACCATGATTCCTATGTATCGTTAATATTTTAGCTATAATAAAAAAACTTACATTTTTAAGCTTTTTGACCGGATAAATAATTTTTTATTGACATTTATAGAATAACGATTTCTAATTAATCAAATACAATCCAAGTTAGGATGGTATAACCAAGCTTGTTACCAAACAATTTAAATAAATTTTCATTTTTTTGCTAAAATTATTTTTAAAAGCACTGAGAATTTTCAATTTCAACCTCCTAAAAGTACTAACTAAATTTAATTTGCTTAAAAAACATACACTGGGCATTGAAGCTTATGATCAGAGCATTTTTTCTACCAGAAAAGTTGAAAAGTTACAAACATTTTAAAATACCCCAAATAAACGTCTGCAATTATTAGACTGGACAAAATAAGAATAAAATTGTAACCAATTTTCAAACCCCCCCCTCCACTGAAAAATCCTGCGGACACCACTGGCGAACCCGGTTGTCCGTCTTATCGATTTGAGATCTTGAACTATAAAAAAGTGGATGTCGCTCTGCTGTACAGTAGGACACAAGTGGGTCACTGTAATGGATGGTCTTAAATTTGAATTCAATGGTATAATATCATTGTATAAGAAAAACGATACCAAGCGAATTTTTGTTTTAATTATTTAATAATGTTGTACACTTGTACTTTTGTACTATCAAGTTTATCAAGAAAATGATTAGTTAAATACATGTATTTAAAAATCAAACACAAATAACAAATTATATTCCATTTTGTGTTCTTTTTCGGTTATCTAGTGGAAATGGTGATATTTATAAAAAAAGTTCAGTTTATAAAAAGGCATTTGTTAAATATAAAGACTTTTATAAACCTACAAACATGGACCAAAATATCATAATTTTACCTAATTTTTTAACATAAGCCTATTAAAACAACGAAGTTAATGAAGTTGTGTTTTTCTAATTTACCGTATTATGCAAAATAGTTGCATATCAGATTTAATATAGTATTATTATTATTATTTTTTAAATGATTCATAAAAATATTCTTTTGACCCAAAATATTATAATTTTCCTATTTATTTTTTTTTCAGCATAAGACCACACAAAATTGTTTGATAACCTAAAATCTACTAAAATTGTTTTTATGATGGACCAGGATATGCGAAATAATTACCTATAAAATATGTACTAATGTGTACTTGAATTATTATTCCAGTAAAACGGTTTTGAACCAAGAAACCCTTTACTTTCGAATCAAAACATCGTTATTACCACAACCACATTTTAAACTCATGGTTTATGAAAATTATTTAAGATAAAAAAATGTCTTACAAAACACTTTTAAAGAAGTAAAAAAAAATCGAGTTGATAAGTACAAAATTGAAGAATTTAAGTTTTTATAGATTTATTGAAAATGTCCCGTCTGCATTCAAATAGCAACGGCGACGTAATTTCATAACTCCACGTACTAAATGTAGTAGAAAAACGTAATTTCTTCACCAAACCTTGTGAATTTATATTTTTCTGATATACCCGATATTAATATCTTAATTATGCAAAACAGTTACATATAAAAATATAAATTATCTTCAATTATTTTAACAGAAAAATGAATTTGAACATAAGAATTGCCATCTTAAGGAGTAAGGTAATAAGTAATATTGTTTTTTCTTAACATAAGCCTATAAGCCTATTAAAACTCTATTTCTAACAAACTTTAGAGCGTTATATTTGTCTGATATCCCTACCAAATTATGCAAAATAGTTAGTTACAAATAAGTTTCTTATAGTACTATTGTTTTTTTTTTATTTTAGTGATTTTGAAAAAAAAAAATATGCTTACCACCCGAAATGTCTTAAGTTTCTTATGTAGGTACCTACATTAAAACATTGTGTACAGGTGTGGTAATATGATACCCACAAATAATAATTATAATATTGTAACAAGCCTCAGCTGAAGTAAATATACTTTAGATGATCGTATACGGTATACGTTCGCAATGTTTGCATACAATTCATTACGAATAAACTTTTATCAAATATTTTAACCTTCCACACTTCCGTTAGTAAAATACAATCTCGGCAGTATTCCGCCACCGACTGTGTGAATACATCACTTGTCCCTGAATTATATGAAGAGGTGTAGTTACGGATATATTATGGTGATACGTGTCACTCCTGATGCAATAATACTAGATGCACTTTTTCATACCACCCAGTTTAAATAAATGCATTGTGCAAAATTATCAATGGTAGATAGTCCTTTTTGGGTAAAGACCTTCCATGAATAGTGTCAATGGGTGTGTCACTTCAAAATCGAGAATAACAACTATTATAGTACAGGACAGTCGTAATTCTAGATTGTATAAGTATATAATCAATAATGTAACAAACAGAATCGATATAATTGCTACAAAATTACAATATTACAAATTGTTATAAGAACAACTTATGATGAACCTAGTATTGTAATATAAGGTGTTAAAAAAGTTAAGAAACGGTCATTAGACTAATTAAGAGTGATACACGATAATATAATGAGGTGATTAACGGTATGGTACTGATATAAAAGCTCAACTGCATTTTC